CTCCGTCCCCTGCCCTTCACACACACACACACAATGGATGAGAACGGCTGGGACGCTGGTAACTGTAGGGAATCTGGAAGTGCCCCACAGAACCGGGTGGACAGCTGCCCACGAGCCCGGGTGGGTCAGCTTAGCTAGAAGAATCAATCTGTCCGGCCGAGTGAGCAACCATGTGGCTATTACTCCAAGAGGGAAGCTGTAAACCCTGCTGCCAATACCCCAGAACTGTGATGCTTTTAAGGTGATAGGACAGGGGAGCCCTCCCGTGCGTCTGCTCAGAGCCCGAGCTCCCGGGAGCAGAAGGAGGGCTGCATGCTCTCCCTGAGATCTGCAAGAAGGCGGCACTCACAGTTGTCTTGGTGCCGGGGAGGTTCTTGAAAACGAAGTGCTGTCAGGATGATGAACAGGATGCATGGCCAGAGGAACTCCGCAAGGCAAAGGACCTGGGGAAGTGGTTGATTTTAAATAAAATAGTGCTGAATAGCCTGAGCCGGCTTGGCTCAGTGGATAGAGCGTCAGCCTGCGGACTGAAGGGTCCCAGGTTCGATTCCGGCCAAGGGCACAGGCCCGGGTTGCAGGTTTGATCCCCAGTGGGGGGCAAAGCAGGAGGCAGCCGATCAATGATTCTCTCTCATCACTGATGTTTCTCTCTCTCTCTCCTTCTCCCTTTCTCTCTGAAATCAATAAAGAAATATATTTTTAAAAAATAGTGCTGAATAAACTGCAAAGCGTTACGGTATCTCCATCTCTTAAAAAATGGCAAACTGGCCCGACTGGGTGGCTCCGTGGTTGAGCATCAGCCTATGAACCAGGAGGTCACGGTTCGATTCCTGGTCAGGACACAGGCCTGGGTTGCAGGCTCGGTCCCCAGAGGGGGGCGTGCAGGAGGCAGCCGGTGGATGATTCTCTCTCATCATTGATGTTTCTCTCTCTCTCCCTCTCCCTTTCTCTCTGAGATCAATAAAAAAACATTTTTTTAAACATTATTTTAAAATGGCACACTGGCCAGGCTGAGCCCCCTGTGAAGGCGTCATCGCCAGCCCTGCCCTGGGTCTCGAGAACAATGGTTGGGGACAGGGCCCCAGAGGTCACTGGAGAAAGGAGGGGAAGCAGAGGCTGCAGGCAGGCTCTTCTCAGGTGCCGAGGTCAAGGAGACCAGGCCCGTCCTCACTCGCACGCCCTGCAGTGCTGCCAAGCCCTTAGTCACCGACCCTCGCCCTCCCAGCAAGCAGTGGGGAGCCCGCTTTGCCCACGGCACACCAAGGACATAGCTCGTTTGCCCTGTATCCTTGCACCAGCTGTGACGACGGAACCTGGGCTGAATCTCAGGCCTGAAGACGAAGTAACTTTCCTTCCGCTTCAACAAAGCATCATACAGACAGAGTTCAAACCCATTTTTTGTTGTTTATGTGTTAATCTTCACATAAGGATTTTTTTCCCATTAATTTTTAGGGAGAGTGGAAGGGAGAAGGAAAGACAGAGAAACACCGATGTGAGAGAGACACATAGGTTGGCTGCCTCCTGCACGCACCCCGACCAGGACCCAGGCCAGGGAGTAGCAAAGTACATGCCCTTGATGGGAATCGAACCCAGGACCCTTTTATCCGCAGGCTGATGCTCTATCCACTAAGCCAACTCAGCCAGGGCAAACCCATTTCTAAATCCTCCAGTTGCTCAGCGAGCTGGGGGGTTTGGTTGCAACTGAAAACCACAAGGAATAAAACATTTGGTGCAAACAATACACTGTGAGAGAATGGAGGAGGGAGGCCTCACTGGGTGAGAGGACACCTGGGGGGAATATCCAGGAAGTGGGCAGGGAGGCGTGTAATTAGCCGAGGCCTCAGCTCCTTGGAGACAAAGGGCTCTGTGCTGGGCGTGAAATTCCATTGTGCCCTCGGGACATGCAGTCCGGCCTCCCAGAAGGGGACGCTTTCCCAGGGTATCAGGTTTGTTTGTAAAACAGCCAGAAACGGGGTTCACACGATCAGGAGTCCCACCGAGAGCAGCCTGAGCCTGCCACTCGGCCCCCCACCACGGGAGGGCGGGGTGCGGCGGGGTTCCCTCCGTGCTGCTCGCAGAAGGTGCGGGGTCTTAGGGAGGACGACTTGGAGGGAGTCTCCTTACTTGACGCCAGCGGGCTAAGCAGCATCCTTCTCCCTGGGGTGGGGGTGGGGGTGGGGGTGGCACTGAGTCCAAGCCACCTGGGGCGCTGTTCCATTCAGAAGGCCCAAGCAATGGGGGCGAGCATGAGTCTCCTTGGGCTCCCAGGACAGAGCCCAGCGGACGGTGCCAACACGCCGCCATGGGCTGAACTGTGCCCCCAAATCCCCTCGCTGAAGTCCTGCCCCCTGACCTCGGACCATCAGCTGGTTTGGGAACAGGGCTCGCAGGTGCGGTTGGTTAGGGTGCGGTTCCAGGCAGCAGGTGGGCCTCGCCCGGTCGGGCTGCGTCCCATAAACGGAGAACCCGATGCCCTGCTCCGTCCTTTAGGAACAGCCCGAGCTTCCTTCTGTCGCTAACAACCTGCTTCCACATGAAAGGGATGCATTTTGCCCTGCTCTGCTGCTCAGTGGTTAGAGCCTCGGCCCACAGACTGCAGGGTTGCGGATTCAATTCCCAGTCAAGGGCACGAACCTTGGTTGCAGGCTCAATCCCCGTTCCCAGTCGGGGTGTGAACAGGAGGCAACTAATTGATGTGTCTCTCTCACATCGATGTTTCTCTCCCTCCGTCTCTCCCTCTCCCTTCTACTCTCTCTCTAAAAAAAAAAAAAATCAATGGGAAAAATATTCTTGGGTGAGGATTTAAAAAAAATGAATGCATTTTCCCCAAATAGTTGAGTAAAATTGTCAGAAACAAAAATAAGGAGAATTTAGGACACAGACAGACAGAGGGAGACATGAGAGCACCCAGAGGCCCCAGGAGGACCCAGCCCGCCCACACCTGGACCTAACTCCTCGACACCGCGCTGAGATAGAGGCATGTGCTGAAGGCACGGCCTTGGTATTTGTGACAGCCGCGCTGACTGATACACTCAGGGGCTTCCTGGGAGCCAGGGAAGAAGCCCAGGGGAAGGAGAAGCCCAGGGGGGAGGAGAAGCCTGGGGGGAGGAGAAGCCTGGCTCCCATGGCCTGAGCCTCCGGGCTCCCTGCAGGAGGGGCGGCCCCACACCCTCGGTCCCCCCAGGGGCCCCACTCACCCGGTGCCGGCATCGGACCAGCCAGTTCTTCCAGACCAGGGCCCCGAGCTGGCGCCCGGCCGGCCACATGCTTTCTGGGCAGGAAGCTCTGTGCTCTGGGCGGAGAGCTGAAGGCGGCTTATACCTGCAGCCGGGGGCATGTGCTCCTGTCACACACACACACACACACACACACACCCCACCCCTGCAGAGGCGGTGCTGCCAGCGGGGCCATTCCCCCCCCCCTTTTTGCCCTCCCCCCCCCCCCCCAGCGGGCATCCGATGCCCTCCTGCTGTGCGTCTGTGGGGAAATCTTTCCTTTCCCAGCAGAGGGCTGAGGCCGGGGCAGCCCCGGGCCTCCCCCCGGGAAGGGAGCGAGCTCCCCCTGCGCCCAGCCCCCCTCGGGCTGATGGATGGGGTCACCCCTCCCAGAGGACATGGCAGGTCCGGACCTGGGACCATGGGTGAGGGTTCACCTCAGAGGCGCTGTCGCCCTCCCACCCCTGCTTCACCTGCTCGCCCCAAAGTCTGGGACCCCTGTGCAGAGGGCCCGTGAGGAGGCGCAGCCGAGGGTCTGCACTCCCCTGCAGCTCGAGG